TCAAAATGGTGACCATATACCAAATATGTTATTGTAGAATAAATATATCGTCTATGTTTGAAAATTATTATGTATTTATCATTTTAATAACAAAAATAATTTTTATTCCATTATGAATTTTCATTAAAATCTCAACATATTATATATACATACATTTTCTGGTATACCTCACAAATTATTATATAGCACATAAAATATTCCCAAGTACATACATATATACAGACTATTTACCAGCTATAATAATAATGAATAAATATCATATTAATTTTCCAAAATTTCAAAAATCATAAAATTTCTATTTTTAAATAATTTATATTTAAATTATCCTAATCTTTTATAAATATACAACTATACTCTGATGAATTTCATAACATAGAATCACACATAATTTTCAAAATCATATAAAATTTTAATTTATCAACATAAAACGAAAAAAAAAAAGAAATCTTGTTTTGTTATAATATTTTTTAAAACTCATTGTCCATTCATAATAGATAAAATAAATACATAAATTTAAATGTGGGTGAAGTTGGAAAAATTTCCACCACAATTTTTAAATAGTCATAAAATCGAAAATGAAGCAGAAATAAAAATAAGCGGAGTTGGTTATGCAATGAGTGTCTTTAAAAGTTGTGTAATACTCGTAACTGTCTTACAAATTTATGTCACCTAATAATGTCCTAATAACATAGTGGGGATTGCTCTGAATATTGAATCACTAAGTGATAGTGATAATTATCGTAAAAAGTTCGATATTACTTTTATAAACACAAAAAAATTCATTCAAATTATTTATGTCCATAACAACATTTTTGACACTTTTACGATAAATGAGTGGCCCGAAAGCACAATGGACTAACCAACATAAATTTTTTATCGATATAAATGAAATTTAATATTTTATATTCTTGAAATACTCATAAAGCCAAAAAGAAGACTAAGAGTTTTAGTTTTCGTTTATTTTTATGAAAATGTTAAAAAATAAGCCACATAGTATGTGTAAATTTAAGCGCTCTCATATTGAATAGGTAATATCGAATCCGAAAAAAATCGTGCACTTGCAAACGAAAATTCTTTCTTAAATAAAATTTCAAATACGTAACAAATACGTAAGTAATGTTTACTCTTATTGTTATATTAATATTGCATCCTTTCAGGATGAGAACAAATTATATAAAGAAGACCATAATAAATTAGAGAAATCATGTGGTTCACTAGATTAATTTAGAAAATATTTACGATTCCGAAAGAAATATGAGTATTTGCTATAAACTGACATTTTTTTTGAAGTTTTATTTAAAATTATAGTACAAATTATAGTCAACAAGAAGTACATTATAAAACGATATACCTTTTATATAAAATAATTTTAAATATTGAAAATTTTCTAACAACTTAATTTTCATATTAATAACACCAAAAATTTATAATATACTTAATTAGATGATATATAGTAAATTATCAAAATTATTATTTTATAATAAAATTTTGTAAAATTTTCAAGTTATTATAATTGTATGTACATATATAAAATTCTAAGCTACCTAACCAAATAACTAATTAAAATAGCTAATAACTATTTGACTAAATAACTTATAATGAAAACTAAAATATAAAAGTCTAAAAATATAGATGAACAACATAATAACTTTAATATAAAATATTTACATACACACATATGTATGTACAGATATTTCACATAAATATTCAAAATTATATTGTTGAAACCAATTATTAAATATTAGTTTTAGTTCATGTTTAAGAATAATGAAAATAACAAACAAAATGCATAATAACAATCACAATAAAATATATTGGTGTGTGCGTGTATTTATATATGAAAATATAATAAAAAAATTTTATCTAAGCCTATTAATATGCAATATAATTTAAAATTTTTAAATTAAGTCAAAAAATTTCACCTCATTATTATACAATTATAAAATTTAATGATCACGTGGAATAAATTTTTATTCTATTGTCCTTTGCTCTTTCATATTCTAAAAATGTACGCGCCTATATTTATTTCCGTGTACATATATACATAATATTCAATTAAATTGACTAGCTATATATTATAATATATAAATTGGCGGACCATTCAGGTCATGTTTTATAATGCCACCGACAACATAACATAAACAAAAAAAATAATAAACACATAAAACGAAAACATTCAAAGTGGATATGAAATTTTTTAATAGTGTATTTTAAACCAGAGGTCCTTTCGCTAAATAATTGTCATATTTATGTTATCATATATTGCAAATATTTACCTAGACTGATATTTTAACCTATGTATATACATATATGTATATTTAGCAAACATATGTGGAAAATTATAAAATTAGTATGTGGAAAAAAAAAAATCAACGGAGTAAATTAGAATGCGTTTTTTGTGTGTAATAATATTTAGAGGATAGCAAAAAAAATGTGTAGAAATGCAAAAATGAGACAGAGGTCATTTCAATGACATTTATTAAATACGCAAATTTTAGTTAACAGTCTATTTTATACAGAAAATTTAATGTAAAATATTTGAGTATACTCGCATAGAGTTGAAAAAGCAAAACAAAATTAAGGACGAAAAATGGTCTAATTCATTCCAAAATCGAAAACAAATTGTTATTGCACATATATTATAAATAAATTATATGTAAACCTCGTAAAATTTTGAAATTTTAAAAATTTTGTGCGGCCTAAATCACATTTATTGGTCTGAAAGTTCGAGATAGTAAGAGCTTTATATTATGATGATTATCTAACGAGGCATATTATATATGTAAATAATTCTACAAAAATGAGCGGGATCTGGTTAAAATTAAGTTCTTTTAAATTATTTCTATAACTTTAAATATCAACCTAATCGGTAATCAGTTTCACATAAACCTCATTATAATTTTACAACATCAAAAATATTCACGCAAAACTAATTCTGCAAAAACACTGTGAAAAAAAAAAATAAAAATTTAATTTCGGTGTATTTAAGTACACAATTTTTTTTTTGTTTTTTTTTTTCTGTTTAATATTCATGAGAAAGAAACTATATTGCCCTTGTCCTCCATCCCACTTTTGAATGAAAATAACAACATTTTTTCGTTACGTGCGTATAAAATAACTACCGTAACCTATCCTAATAATAATAATAATTTTATTTAATAATAATATTATTAGAGAGTTAAAAATTGTGGTTATCTAAAACCTTAATGTGTCCATGCAAACATTCAGTAGTATAAGTATGTATCATTGTATTGAACAGAAAAAATTTGTAAAATGGACAAAATTAAATGTTCAATATCATTGGCTCATTTAGAATAATGGTGGTTTACACCATTTACAAAATATGTAAATTTTTTATACATTTTCTGATTTATTTTTTCTTTTTTTGTAAAAGGTTAAATAAACATTTTCTATAATCCTTCATGTAATATTAAAATAATAATAATTATAATATTATTTTAGAAAATGTTAGAATATGTTGTGGAGCGAAAAACAAATATTTTGGATTGTTTCATAAATTAAAATTGAAAGTTTAATTCTCTTAATGACATGTTTGTGGTTGCCTTTTGTTTATCAATCTGTTATGATGTGGTATATACCAGCGTTTCTCTAAATCAACAAAGCAACCACAAAAATTAATGGGCAATGATTTCGTGACCCTCGCTTGTTTACTGTCATGAAATGCTGGTGGAAACACATTGTATGAGTGTATAGAGTTATAGACTATAAATTTGTTAGCAACGTTTAATTTCAGTGTTACATAAAAAAAAGAATTGAAAACGTTTCAGTAGGCTTTAGCCTACCCGACCAAAAAACCAATTGCGATGCCAGACAGTCTGTACCGGGCGGTAGCAAAGGATGTACACGGTGTAATATTTAGCAAGCCACCTCCAGACTAGCTTGAATGTAAATTGAACCGAAGCTGTCCGAAAACACTTAAATGGCACGGTTTTTTATACCCGTTTTTTAAATTGACTCTCAGACAGATCCCTACTGCATATATTTCAGTCTAAAATACCGGTCGCATATAGGAGCGTATCAGAGCAAAAACCATATACATTCGACTCCGTATTGAACCCGACCGTGTATCAAAAGACTCAAATACGACACCACTCCGATCACAATTCCATCGATAGGGAAACAAAACCCTATACCTGGAGTTGAATTTGTACCTTGACAGACAGGAATCCGACATAATTATTCTCAGAATCGTCCTCAAGGAAGCTTCTGAGTCTTGTGGACCAACCTTGTTCCTGCCTCGTCCTCGCCATAGATACGTCTGTAAGTCATTAGTCGACCTTCCTTCATTATACGGAGGTACAGTGATAGGAACACAATTATCACCTTCAACGCAGCCATTAACAAAATAATCATAAAATATTAAAATCAAATTTAACTCTATATAGCAACTCATTATAAAATATAATTTAAAATTTTCTCATTGAAACATAAAATTAAAACCCAAAAAAAAAAAAATATTATTTAATTATCCGACTCTATAAGCACATTTTGACACTACATAAAATTAACCTATCATTACATTGTAACCGAATTAATAATGTAAAATTACATATATCTGCCTACACATGTTATGCATTCAAAATATTAAACACTTAATAACACTCTTGTATTATAGCATAAGGATATTATAATATATTTAACCTATAATCTAATTTAATGAAATCGAATTAAAAGCACAACAACAAAAAAAGGGTTAACTAATTTGATATTTGAATTATGTTTGAAAGGACTTTAATCTAGGACAAGATAAAAATTAATAAAAAGGTATAGATATAAAATACACACATATATAATATTTTAATTGCATATAGTTAGGAATATTAAACCAATAATTTAATTATTTATTTGAATAGACCACAAAAAAAAATGGGGTATTTTTTTTTTCATTAAACGTCATGCAATTAGTTTATGTACTTACCATTAAATTGACACCATTAAGGCCGTAATTAAAATGTTTTAAAAGAATGTGTGTATACATAATATATATATATATATATTATGTATAATTCTATAGCATTTAAATGAGCACCTGTCAATTTCGATGTAAAACATTAATAGATGAATTTAACTTACCTGAAAATAGAAAATAATTAATGATTAAATGAGTTCGAATTTTTTTTTGTATTTATATATAGTTATTAAAAGAAAAGAAGGAGGGCATGAGATGGGGTCTGATATCATAATCTAATAACAATCAAATAATTTTGACATATTAGCTTTTGTCAAACATATACAGTTATAAATATTTGACATTTACTTTTAATCGAAGAGATAAAATGAAAGAAGAGGAAATCTCATGGTAATATATTCGTAAAAATAAAGGCTGACTACGGTTACATGCAAAATATAAGGACTACTTGCTCCCATTTGGAAAACTATCCCAGAGGAAGTTTGACCGCGAACGACTAAAACTGCTTAATGCTAAAGTGATTACCATGTCCTGGGGGATTTGAGACTTCTTTAATGGTATCGATCGCTTTACCCTGGTTGCACAAAAAAAACCACGTTAAATATGACAAATAATTAAATGAATATGGCGAACAGTTAATTTTTATCTTTCTTTAAGTTTTTCCTATATAGGTGAAGAAACCATGAAAACTTAAAATATAATTATTTACACCTATATATAAATAGATGATTGTAATACAAATATTGAGTTTCAAAATTTTAATATTTCTACAACATTGTTTCCTATATTGTGTGTAATTAATTTAACATTAAATGACATAAATTTAATATTATAATAAATTCAATTTCTGTTAAATGAATCATTTAATTCTCTCGTCGATGTTATTTATATGAAATCTTATAACCTATATATGCCACTTTGCCGAAAAGAGCTATAATAGAAAAGAATATTATAACAGTGAAAATGGAATATATTGTACAATATGTGTTTTGTGTATTGTGTACAGGCTTATCTAAAATTCATATACATAGAATTTATTATTATATATAAACTAGCATAATTAATTTAAATAGAAGTCAATTAGCTTCTTATAAACATAAAATAATTTTACATAATGTAAATTGTAAACATTCTTAAAACTGACAAAGGAAATTCTACAATTACTTAATGTTCTCAACACCTATGTATACATTGTCATATTAAAATAAAAAGAGGTATGATAAAGATAACAACATATTTTATACCGTTGGAAATTTTATCATATATTTGTTACATACACATTGTATGAGTGTATAGACTATAAATTTGTTAGCAATTCTTAATTATTTATAAAATTATACAATCAATTATATTCAAAAACTGAAAAACGAACTGATATAACTGGGTCGACTTAGCATTTTATTTTGATCTAAAACATATATAATATCTTCGGGAGAACTGTGATACCACGTGAACTATAGCATTTCATAGAATCTAAATTTTGTTATATTACATTTTTGCCGAACATATATGTATACTACATGAAGTTGAACATGCTTCCCTTTGAGTATTTTAGAAGTCATGACCAATTGCGAGCACCATACCCTATATACTAGTTGGTCAAAAAGAGTAAGAAATTATATTTTAAAACTATTTGTTTGAATCTTCCATCTTAATCGTAAAGAAAATCCTTCTATCTCGGATTGAATGATTTGGATTTAGGATCCATTTTGGAACAAACGCTTTACTAATTATAATAAATGGTAAGCAATATATATTGTTAGGTTGTACCTTTCTGAATCACCCCGTATGCATATGATGTATAAGCACATAAGTATTGTAAAATGTAATCGTACATTTTCACCAAAAATACATTTTTTAAATTCTACATTTGTCGCTGCAATACGGCCGCATTTAAGATAAAAATACTGCCGAATAAAGCCTAAATTTTATAATGATTTTCAATTAATTTAAAAGGCGTGTTTAATATTACGATTTATGACAACTAATGAATGACCTCAATAATCTATTGTTACAAAAAAATTAATCAAAACTTTAAAAATTTTTAAAATTTTAGTAATTCCCGACTAAATGGAATAATAATATTAATTTAAAAATTTTTATGTAAAACAAAATTAAATCATAGACACTATTTCTAAATTACATAAAAAGAAAACCAGTAGAAACACCATGTAAATAATAAATTGAGGTGAACAAGAAAAAAATTAAACTTTTTTTTTTTTTAAAATAAAACTTTTTTAAAATTTTCAACTATCATTATATTTTTTAAAAGATTACTTATTATATTTTATTATTTTTATCCGGCAATAAGGAAAAAAAAAAAAACAAAAAAAAAAAAGAATAAAAAAAATGATTTGAAATTTTTTTTTTTACCAAAAACTTTTACTTTAAAAAAAAATTTCCATTCATTTAGAATTTCTTTTAAGCATTACGGGGGTGAATGAAATTTATATAAATATGTATAACAAAGCGAAAAATTATCAGAACTAAAAGGTTAAAAGTTAAAGTATTCTTATACTTACATTATTTACAATTTGTTATACTCATATTATAATATTGGTTATAAAGGTTATTCTCTATATACAGGGTGATTCAGTAACAAATTTGGAACCATGTATAATCAAGTAGACAACTAAAAACAAAAAAATTTAAATATACTAATATTTCGCCAAAATTCCTTAAAATTGCTATAACTCCGAAACAGTTCCGATTTTACACTCCGAACAAAAAATTTTACTTATTTTCGACCGTCTAACCAATTGTGTATGGCTCCTAACTTGTTGCTGAATCATCCTGTATATTTAAAAATACTATGTTACAAAAATATATGTTTTTTTTTTTTTTTGGAAATTCTATAAATAACAAACAATCAAAAAGGATATGAGTACTATAAATATATCATTGAGAAAAAGCAAAAAGAAAACAAAAAATTAAAAAAAAAAAATTGATTACCCAGCTATTACATATTTTGACGAGCATGGATTCACATGCAATCCACAATTACAATGATAGCTGTTAGTAAACTAATAATATAATATTTTTAATACAAAAAAAGGATATAACTGTAATACAATTACAAATATTGTAGATTCAATTGTTACCCAAGGGTAAATAAGAATGACTTTTATTTTCAATTTTATTTTCATTGTTAATAAAAAAAAAAAAAACAGAAAAAATTGTTATTTTTTTCTTCTCTTTTTTCAAGAAGAACAATAGAAAATAAAAACTCACTTTTTTTTTTTTGAGAAAAAAAAAAGGATAATACCTGCTTGTATACTTGTGTTAAAATATAAAAAAAAAAAAAAAATAAATAAATATTTTTAAAAGTATTTTTGTTATACTTTTTTTTTTGTTATTGTACTCTTGTATTCTATATAGTGTTTTAATTTTCTCGTGTTCAGGGAATTCGTCTTTATTATTGTTATACGATTTTATATGTGTAGCTTGTTATTACTTGTTTTTTCTCCTATAAGATCCTTTGTTTTTTCTTCACGTTTTTTTATTGCTCTTATTATTATTATTTTTTTTTTCTGTTTGTTAAACGGAAACTTGATGGAAAAGGCCATTCTTAGTATAGGAAGGAAATGTTTAAATTTGATGAAGGCATTAAATTGTTTACAAAAAGGATTATATTATAAAAAATATAGGAGAAAAATTAGCAAAAGTATAAAAAAAAAAATTAACTCAAAAAAAGAATATTGTATATAAAAATGGGGTGGAAGGTTCATTGTCATTTTTAATTTTAAGCTGGAAATTTACAATTATTGAAATAATTTTGCACGAGTTCCGAAAAAAATTACAAAATTTTTTAAAACAAAATTGAAATATAGAATTGAAAAAGAATTCACTAATTGCCATATAATCAAATTTTAATTTTGTATAACAGCTTTAATAATTACTTCCAGCTTCACCAACATAACTAAAAGAGTAAATTGTCATTTGTCTAATAAGAATTAATGAGAAATAAAGGCAGCTCTTATAAAGATAATGAGAACAATTCAATACACTTTCAGGGTGAGCCTGATGCTCTGCAATCAGTTGTCAAATGAATGAAACAAAAATTTTTCAAGCGAACCGAAAACTGAACTCATTTCCAATTTTAAATTTTTAATCTTATTTAAGAAAATTATTAAAATTTCAAAGGAATTTCTCAAATTTCAACGAAACTAACTCAAAAAATGAACCAATTTTATGGAACAAAATTTTTTATTTTTAAGGGTTTCATTATGTCGCTTGCAATCAGATGCACAAAACTTTAAATTTTTACCATAAAATGCTACTGAAATTATGGATCAACTTTAAAACTATTTTAAACATAAAACAGAAATGTTTTAATAGAATTATCAAATAAACTTTATTAACAAAACACATGACTATTATAGTTTAATCATCAGGAACATTAAAATAAATAAAAAGTGAAATAAATGAAAAATCTCGGACGAAAAGAAAAAAATTAAATAAAGCTCTACTCTATATGTATTGTAAAATGAGGCCACTTTGTCCTTACTTTTCGGTGAATACACAAAAATGCTAAAACAAAAAAAAAACAAAAACTGAAGACAAACAAAAAGCACCTTTTTTTTTTTTTTAATATTATTTAACAGACATAACTAATTAGCGAGTACAAGTGTTATCTGGTACCAGGATCCAGCAAAATTTTATTTTTTTCTTCGTTTTTTTATTATTTTTGAATGGTGAATAGGTGTATGTATATGCACTATTGTCCAACACCCTCAGATATATCCTTAAACAAGAAAAGAAAAACAGTGAAACTAGAACAAAAAAAAATGTTTATAGAAATAAAATTCAGGGCAAAAAACGTAAAACAAAAAAAAAATCATATTTTGTTCACTATCCTTGTTATCCTTTGAATTTTTGTTTTCTCTTTTGTTAACTATTTCTTGTAGGAAATTTTGTACAGATAACAATTTGAAGGTCTTTTTTGTGTTATATTTTTTAAAAATTAGCATGTAACACTTTAAGAACTTAAAAAAAATGTATTCAGAATTTCAAATTATTTTAAGTAAGTGTTCCATAAGTTAAAAAAGTGGGGAGTATTTTTAATTTTTTTTATGGAATAAAATGCAAATGAACTTTAATTTTTGCAACACCTTTGACTCTGAACACCAAGCGAAATATTTTCATAGAAAAATTTTAACATAAG